CTTGTTTCCTTGTTTCCTTGCTGCCTTGCATCCTTGCATCCTTGCTTCCTTTCCTTTCCTTTCTTCATCTTTTTATCAAAAAGGAAACAATAAACGAGCTAACTAACTAAACCAAAGGCATGCTGTAGCGGTTTAGATACCTATCTGATACAAAAATAACAAATATTTATCTTTACTAAAAACCAAATTTGTCCACCCTATTTATCAGGAGCAGTACTTGTTTATACACATGGCGATTCTCGAACATCTAACGTGTGGGATCACAGAGATACAAGCACATCAACTGGGGAAGATGATCAACAAACTGACTATATACGATCGTAAAGAGAAAATCTCGGGATTTGAAAAGGAATTCAAGGTTTTTATTGTTCAGCATCAATAACCTTTATACCGTAATGGTTTTGACTGATGTTCTATTTTATATATTTATTTTTAAACTGTTGTTTTTATTGTTGTCAAGCATCTTTCAGCCCTTTGTCCTGATGTCCCCAAAAACGAGATGAAACATGGAAGAAGGAATTGTAACAGTAAGAAAAACAGGTTTCAACACATCCTGCCTGGTACGTTTGAGATCTCCTATTTTGTTATATCAAGGCTTTGCACCATCACGAAATGGCAGCTATTACAGGACACGCAACAACAGAGTCTTTCTTCTCAGGGAAACTGATTTCTTTCTTGTGTAAATCAGATTAGACCAGGTTCAATTGTTCCTCCTGTAATGGCTGCCATGACTTGATCGTGCAAAATTTCTATAATAGTTTATAATTGTTTCATAAATAAATGAAGCTACTTGACGGCTACTGAATGAATCTGAATTTGGGCGTTTCCGTACTTATATACAGTCAATTCAAAAAACGTTGTCGTCGACCGACTCAAGCCTACGCGACTGGACCGAAAGGAATATGGGTAAAAATCACTGAAGCGGTTAAATATTCGTTCTGAATTAATTATTCCCGCTAGTAATAAAGTAATAATGGCGAGAAACAATCCATCAAATGCATGTCTTTGGGTTTAGGGAAAGAAAAACAAAGTAGTTATGATTCAGTTCACAATTTCGAAAATATGAAGACATTAAAAAACGTCTCCTTCAACACTTCCCGCTCGCCTACGAAGGTTCGTGCAGTAAACCAGGCATAACTAGTCACATAAAATTATGGAGTCAACTCGGCTTCAATGATTGCTACCCAGAGTTCCTTTCGGTCCAGTCGCGTAGGCTTGAGTCGGTCGACGACAACGTTTTTTGAATTGACTGTATTTACTTATGTTATTCAAAATGCGTGCGCTGAGGTCGAGCATAAAAGAATCCTATTATTCTATTGTTAAGTATTTTCGTAAACAAAACAATAATAGCTTAAATTACATCAATGTATCTTTCCGCAAATGGGGAGCAATATCCTACCATCCAAACTACATGTAGACTCCTTCAATAGTATTGCTTTCTTTACTGGTCACTCTTGACAAAATATAAATGGTTAGGGATGTGACTTGAATAAGTTTGAGAACATTACGCATCTATGTTATTTATCGTAAACCATTTTTCTTTATAGTAGATAGACTCAGATACATTCAACGATTATCGGCACCACATATATTTCCCTTGAGTATTTTTTTTTTTTGCTGACCAGTGATTCTTGAACCAATAAWAATGAATATGGATGTGAATCAAATAATTTGGAAAAATTTTAATCTCAAAGGCGTTTCATTATCAATATTTCTCTTATAGTGGATAAAGCTAGAGTTATTCTACAAGCTGACACGGATGAAGAGGGAACTGACTACATCAACGCCTCATATGCCAACGTACGTTATTTTTTAATAATTTAATAATCTCTAATAAATTATCAATATTTATCAATAAATTCATTGACAGTTTTTTATTTGAAACATTTTTGGGCTTTGATTTCTTAGGCCTACAGACAAAAGGACGCGTACATATTGACCCAGGCTCCTCTCGACACCACCCTGGCTGATTTCTGGAAAATGATTTATGACAACAAACTGGGAACCATCGTTATGCTGAATAAGAATAAAGAGGAAAAAATGGTAAGGAGATTTTTTTTGCATTCCTTTAATTATCTCAATGAATCCCGTTTCGAGCCTGTCCCGATCCATGCTTAGCTTGATCACCTAGTACGTTCAATTGGTAGAGTCACATCCCTTTCCACGAGAATAAAAGGACAAAAGGCATATCCGCCATGTTTGTTGACAAAACAGAAATCACCAAAATCAAATCTTTTGTCAACGTCAACCAAAATGGCGGCTCTGTCGTCACATGCACCACAAGATTTCAATATATACAATGCGGGCAAAAAAAAAAATTGTTTTCAGGTATAGAATAATTTGTCATTTGTCACTAGCTTAAAATCGAACTCTGAAAAAATTCTGACCAATGACAACAACAAACTCTGACAAATAACAAAATGTATACCTCTTTCTTAGCTTATAGACAATAATGCACCAATATTTTAAGATCTTAAAATATTTATATATTTTATAAATAATTTTACCAGAGTTACCCCCCGTACTGGCCTGAAAAGGGATCACTGGAATTTGGGAACATCAGAGTTGAAATCGTCAAGGAAGAAACTGAGAATTGCATAGTATCACGAGAGTTTAATCTGACTCACAATCACAAATCAGTAAGTTATTCCTCTTTCATTGCACATTTGATTCTCTGCCATAAACAACGTGCGAGTTCAGCTTGTTTGTATTTTCTCTTCCTCGCCAAGACGGTTTTTCTCATTGGCTTTTCCTCCCTTTGTAAAAGTTAGCATGTGAGTAGAGGGTTGAACTCATAGGATATTGAATGTGGTAAGCGTGTATGGGATTGAGATTGGAACAAATGAGAAGCCAGTATAATTTCTCATCCGTCCACCCATGTCATCCATCTATCCGTTTATCCGTTTATCCGTGTGTCCATCCATCCATCCATCATCATTTTCAATAATTCGATAATGTTGACCCTCATGATCTATAATTCATTAATCCAGGATGGTCCAAACAAACCACACAAAGTGAGACATCTACAGCACACAGGATGGAGTGATGGATC